AAAATGCTAACATTTAATTGTCAACTGTACAAACATCTTAAATAAAAGCCCAGAGGAGTAAAAGCTCTTTGCAACAAATACCATCAAACAATTTTTTTTTTAGGATAAGAGACCTTTTTCAAAGTTCTGGCAAAAATCCTATAGGTACATGTTATAAAAATATCATTACAACAAACTTGCCAATTCCAGTACCTTGTACCTTGCAATTTGACCATCCCACAATTTGGTGGTTGAATTTGCAGGGAGGTTGACTTACAATTTGACCTCTGCACCAGAAGTTGACCTGATTTTGCCACCGTTTTGCATTTTTATGGTAGTACTGTGCTTCTCAATTCTATGATTTGTCTCACAATTAAACTGCTTTGCATTTCAACCCTAGTCTGTCAATGGATTACGGTCAAATTCCAAAGTACCACCTGTATACCAAACTTTTTTTCGGAACATGTTGTGATTTCTTCATGATAAAATATTAAATGAAGGCAGGCACAGTCTCAAATTTCTCATTCAAAATGTGACTGTGACTGGTTCTTGGGACATATGGTGGAATCAAGGAAAAAATAATTCTTCAAATTCACCTCAAAATTCTCTCTTTCAATTTTTTTTCCTGAATTAAGAAAGATAGAAAAGACCCAGCCAAACTGATTAGGGTTTGTGAAACCCTACTGATGCTTCAAAATTTAAGTGAACATTTGTTAATAACATTTAAATTTATTTTTGAAACACTGAAAAGGCCAGATAAGGAATATGTTGAATGTATATGCAGGTTTGGTTTTCAAAAAATCTTTCAATCAGTCAGAAATTTTGAAAATCTCATTATAACAAATTATTCAATAGAAAAAACTTTTTCTGAAGTCCCCACAACTTTTTTACAACAATAAGATTTCAAATTTATTTAGGCCAGTATTTAAATTTAAATCGTAATATTCCTTCCAATAAACCCCCAGACAAGAAGAAAAAAAAATCGGAAAACGCGGAAGCGAGGCTTTTTTTTTTTAGTCAGATGAAAGACGTGAAGAAAAAACATTGAGTTGGTGTATGATCTCGACTTCATCTTCAAGTCAGCACGACGAAAAAAAGAGTAAATATAGTTAGCAACAACAACTGCCGGGAAGCTGTTGGAGGAGCTTTTCTCACGGGGGCCACTCCTCAAAAAGACGTTCCCCCCCTTGACGGCTTGAAAAGATGAATGACCGCGCCAAGAGCAGCTTCTTCTACAGTGGTGAGAAAAATTTGTCGACACCGACAAACGACGATGAGGGGAAAGAAGAAAAAAGGAAACTAAACAACTAAAAATGAACGTAAGTATCTAGGCTCAACGAAGGGATAACGATTAGCAAGAAACCCTCTGCCCGGAGACTTCCCCAAACTCCAGTGGGACCCCAACTTATTTGGACACCCTGACATACGGATTACCAAGATTTCTAGGAAGGTTTAACAGCTTGATTATAATTTTTTTAATTTTCGTATTTCTCGAAGAAATTGAGCAATCAAAATTTACAAATCCTAAAATTAAATGTCAATATAAAATCACCCGAATCCATAATCAAAAACAATCTTGTGCTTCCTCCTTTCCATCATGTATTCTAAGTATAGCAAGACTTGGATCTTACTCTGCTTTTTGAGCTCCTCTTCAGATGCCAAAAAATCAGATTCTGTGCTGTTTTCTTCCGTAAATTTATTTTCTGTACCTTAAAGTTTAGGAACAATTATTTTATTGTATTAAGTTTCTGGGGGGACTTTCTTTGAATGATTGATCTAAAGGAGATGCGGAACCAAGTAAAAATATTCCCATTGAAGTCTATGGGAAAACGAGGTCCGACATGCGGACGTTGTGACTTACGGAAAGGGTCCAAGCAGCACCAATTACGTCCGCATCTCGGGGTTCCATCGTAAATCCAATCCCAGTCAACAGATTCCAGACACTTGTGAAAAGCTTAAATATATTGTTTGTTCTCTTCCGCAGAATAAACTCGAGACGCGAAATCAGACACCGCAATAAAACGCTTGAAAGAATGAAGTAGAACACAAGCATGGAGGAAGCCTGAAATCATGACTCAAAATGTGCTGCAACTTTTGTGATGAACCCCAGGACAAAACAAATGCAAGGAGGCATCACGCGAAACAGAAACAACAAAACGAAGGGAATATAAATCTCGTTCCAGAACCAGCTTCGTTCCTCGCTTCTTCAACAACGTGCCGCGATTTTCTTTTTGTTTATTCTTTTTTTTTTTTTTTTTCATAGACACAAAACCCAGTCATCACAATTACTCCCGCCTCGGGGAAACGACCGCGAAATTGGCGGAAATCTGGAATCATTACGACCAGCTACTCGTTCACTTTCCACAGCCCAACGACTCCACGAAAGAACTGCTGCAGCATTTATTTTATTTTATTCACGACGAAAACCGGGGAAATTTTGGTTTTGCATGTGAAAAAATTGCACATATTCCTAATGATGCGCTCTTCCCGCGAGTACCACAAAAATAGCAGAATACTTCCGGGGATTCCTGATGCCTTTCCCGAAAGCACCTTTTTTTTTTCCACGCTGTGACGGGGCTATTAGATCCTCACGTTAAATTGCGAAAGTTAATTACTCACGGGGAAACTCATTAATCAAACGGAGGAACCATGATGCGACTCAAGACTACAAAAAAGTTTTTTTTCTGATCTCAGTTTCCAATTTTTAATTACCCCACAAAAAAAATTGAACGCGAGAAATTCCTGAACGGAATTTTCTAAAGAGCGGTGAAAATCTCGCGAAGTACTGTACTCCGAACGCATTAACATTCCATTCCAAAGTTTCAAAACCAGTGGCCTTTCTTTAAAAAAAAAAGCTTGCCAAAAATTGCATAACCCAAATATTCTCCCGAAACACATCATATTACATATTCCTGAAATGCCAAAAAAGCATTCAACTCGTTTTTTTTAAAATAAGCGAAACGCACAGGCTGGCCAAGAGTCATTTCATAATAAAATCTGGAAATATTCATTCTATGACTTTTATCGAAACCTCTTGGCGTGAAATTCGGAAGACAAACATTTTATTAATAAAAAAAGAAGAAACAAAAAATTGCAGTTCCTTAAAAAAATGATCGCGCCTTACACAGAAACAAGATCTGATTTCTATAAATCAGCACAATAAAACGCTATTTGAGCTCATTAACAAAATATCGCCTTTCGCCTCAGAATGCTTTGTATAAGATGCAAGCTCTTCGATCAACACATTCCTTATTCCCGTCCAACGAAAAAGAAAAAAAAGAAGAGGAAACAGGAAACTGACCTGGACTTGAGGCCGTTGAAGAATCCGGAAGGAGCAGCAGCAGGGTTGCCAGCGAGGATGTGGCAGCTGTTGGTGCTGTTGGGAGAGCCAGCAGCACTGCTGCTCGACACGCCCGACGAGCTCGGCATGGGCGCCGGCTCCGGGAAGTAGTCGTCCGCCGTCAGCGGCGGCGGCGGGCTCAACGGCGGCGGTGGCGGCTGTTGCACGTGCTGCTCCGGATTATTCAGCATTCCACACAACCCGCTTTTCTCTGCTATCGATATCGGGTGAGACTTGAAGGGTCTCACCTAGAAAAATAATCGTGGAAACAAGCGAAAAGACAACCCTTATGTGACGTCTATAACGAGATCGAAATTGATACCCTTGCAGAGATGCAAATTACAAAAATTAGATTCCGAAGTTTCCATGAAAAACTATTTAAAAAAAACAGAACTCTTGTCCTGCATGAAACCAAAATGCGAGGGCTACATTTCTAAATTATCCTTTTTTTGGTATTCTATAATTTTTTTTATTTTCAAACGATGCATGAACATGAACGTAATTTTGAAAGTAAAATATTAATTGAAAAACTTCTGGTGAATGTTCGTAGCTTTGCTTATCCAGATTAAGATGGAGAAAATTAAGAGAGTAGAATCGTGACCCACACTCACGCACAGAAATAAAGTACAAATGAAGGGTCTCACATGTGTTTTTTCTTGTGTTGGGAATTTTTCCAGGTGTCAGTTGGTCAGATAAGCACGACTTTTAGCAATACGTAGAATTGAAAACGTGTTTTTCAGACTGAAACTACCTCGAAACTCGGAGTAAACGAGTTTAACTTGACTCACAATTGAACAAAAATTAGATGAACCCCCTCCACACCCAAGTATCAGTGGTTTTTATTTTAAAATCCCCGACATTTTTCTGATCATGGGATAAAAAGTTTCAAGACAATAAAATCCAGTTTAACTAGCCTCTGGGTGACTTCGAATTTGTTTCACTGCTTTCGTTGAAAAGCAAAAATATTGTGCACGAAAAATTTTGGCATTGTTTGTTTTCCGTTTGTTTGTTTTGTTTTGATAGATGACAGGGGGGAAAAAACTAACCTGAACCATTCCGTTGTTGCTTTCAGCATTCCGCCAGGCTTTATTGGGAATTGCATAAGTGTCCATATTATTCCCAGCGTGGATCACAGCAGGTTTGCTTTGCTGCAGTTCCTGCAATTGTGTCTGGATACTTGACTTTTCTCGGCTTCTCTTTCTCCGGAATTCTTCTTCGACCTTCACACATTCCCGAATCGAAAAGAAAAACATTCATTTTAAGCTAGAGGCAGTGTTGCAAGCATTTGAAAATGTTGTGAAGCATATTGGCCGAATTTTAAGCATTCGTTCATCCACAGGATTCATTATTTATTTTATTTGCCCAAGTGAGGAGGTCAAGTGAAAGAGTTTTTTTAAATCAAAATTAATGTCGTACTTCTCTTTTTTTTT